AGGTCCAGATCCAGCAGGACCAGATCCAGCAGGTCCAGATCCAGCAGGACCAGATCCAGCAGGTCCAGATCCAGCAGGTCCAGATCCAGCAGGACCAGATCCAGCAGGTCCAGATCCAGCAGGACCAGATCCAGCAGGACCAGGAGTTCTGCAGGAGGTACCAAGAGAAACTCATGAAGGTAAGAAGTTCTGTTCAGGTCTGGACTCATGAACAGCTGATGGTTCTGCTGGTCTCAGAACTGTTGGATCTCAGACCCTGCAGGACCTGAGGTGTGTCTCAGACCTGCTGGACTCCTGCACTCTCATGGACCTGGGTTCAGACCTGCAGACCTCCAGGCTGCTGGACCACTTCACACAAGCAGAACCACATTTCAGGGTAAGACCCGGTCCAGAGGGTATCTGATGACATCAGAACCAGATGTCTGATTGAGACCATGAGGCGGGTCTGAGGGAAACTGTGTCTTTGTCCTCTGCAGCAGCTGGACTCACAGGTGGACCACATGCTCCAGAACCAGACCCGTCTGAGAGGAGTCCAGGTCCAGGTTGGGGAGGACAAGGGTCTAACAGACCTGCTTCAGCTCCAGCAGACAGTGAAGAAGAAGATCCATCAGAGCAAGTCCATCCTGAGCCTGAGCAGAACCTTCCACCTCACAGCCAATCAGGTGAGAGGAAGAGCAACTGTCACAATAAAAGTCTGTAAAATRATTAACCAACAACTGTCAAAATAAAAGTCTTTGAAATAATTAACTAATAAATAAAACATTAGTCCAGACTGTGGAGATGAATGTWTTTAATTCCCATCATGTCTGTTTTCTGGGTCCAGTTGGAGCTGCTTCTTCAGTCAGAACCCAGCAGAACTTCAGCTGGTTCTTCTGGTCCACGTGGATCCAGAGAAGCTGAGCTGAGTTGGTACCAGGAGACCCGGCAGCAGATCCAGAACCTCCTTCAAACCACGTGGAGGCAGAAGACAGACGTCTGTACCACCGTCACTCAGAGTGTAGGATCCAACACTCACACCTGTGTTCACACCTGTGTACACACCTGTGTACACACCTGTGTACACAGGTGTGTACACAGGTGTGTACACACCTGTGTACACACCTGTGTACACA